CCGCGCGGCTATACCGTTTAAATATATTATTTAAACAGTATAGCCGCGCGGCTGTACTATTTATTTAAAAAAATAAAAAAAGGACCCGCCTAGACCGCCTAGGCGGCCGATTTTTCGAAAACCTGAATCGCGTTGTTTTTTTATTTCTTAAGATTTCTTTTTTTTTTTTCGGCGGGTCTGGCATCTCTACAAATACAAAGCTAAGGTTTTAGTGACTTACTCTTTCTCACCGTTTATCAACAACGTAAAGGATAGCTAACCCATGTTTGAAAGTAATTGTGGTTTCCAATGTGCATGCCACCAAATATCACACTCACCTGAGGAAGGTAAGCGGAGGGATTGATTTGACAATGTACTTCAAGAACTGAAGCATCAAGTATGCATATAGTTCCATATACCGTCTGGCCATCACCTGAGTATGTTGCATGGGAAATTGATGCAGAAAAATCTGGAACCCACTGGAAATACAACACAAAAGACTTAAATCATCCGTATCCTCAAACAACATGAGAGAGAGAGAGAGAGACCTGGTTAAGATATGCTAGTTCTTTCACTTCATATACTGCAAGGTGAGTCTTGTTTATGGCAAGGAGGTGTAGATCATTCTGGTGAATTTGGATGTAAGTATCTGACAATGATCTGAACTCCTTCCCCTCTGGAATCTGCAACAATTTGCTTCTCTATTTTTCCCACCCAGCAGCACCCCAACACAAAATCTTCAGGGCCAAAACGACGTCGTTAAATAGCAGAAGTCACATTAGAGTAGAAGCCATGTCTGAAAGTAATTGTAGTTTCCAATATGCATCAGCACCAGAAGAAACTATTCAGAGTGTTCGAGAAGGCAAGGCTATACCGTCATCTCGGGGGTGAAAAGCAAGAAATGTTGCCGCAGGTGGCTGTGGCGGTGGCATGACTTTCTTCATGGTCTGCGTTTTTATGCATCAGATTTTTATGAGTACAATGAGTTAGATCATGAGAAATTTGCAAACAGAACCCAAGCATATTGACAAACAAGATTTAGGAAGTTTTGGCTGGGAAAAGAAAATTTCAAGAATACTATTTGTGTTGGGTTTACCTTAAATGTTGTCATGTCAAAAATGGATCATCCCTCCTGTTGCTGATATGAGATATCAATCATTCTTGGACAAATCAAAGCAGGACATAGCCTCTTCAGGGTTGGTGCTGGGAAGGTCATTGTTCATCAGCTCTAAGCCACTCCTTGGTTTCCATAAATATTTAGGGTGAACCTTGGGAGTTTGGGTAATCACTACAATTTTTGAGAGTATTCGAAGTGGATTTTGGGTAATCACTACAATTTTTTTAGTATCCATTTTGGGTCCATATTGCCTGAAGTGTGAAGTAATTGGCAATTCTGATAGGTTGATGCCACAGGAAAAGCCCTGAAGGATGTCATTGCTGTTGGTATCGGTGGAGGGATGGCAAGTGATTAGGTCTTCAAACAAGGTTGTGAACACTTAAATAACTTGCTTACCTTGAGTACTAATAATTTCTGCTCTCTGGTTCTTTGTGAATAATTTGCATTTAACCAAGTCTGAAATCAAGCGACATAGATGTCCTGGCATGAAACTATTTTCTTTTACTTAGTAAGATGCTCATACTTTGTTCAAGGTCTTAAAATCAAATTTTAACGGATGAAACCTGGTGTTCGTTGGGATTGAATGTGGCTTTAATAGAGGTCTCTGTGTATGTATGGTTGCGACTCCAATTATTTTGAACTGACGCATCAACTCTCTCTTAGCATAGTTTTTGTGAGTATTTATTGTCAAGTTTTGTACTGTATAGTTATACTCAAACGTCAAAGGATGCCATTTCTGAGTCTTGTCCAGTATGCTATGGAAATTGCTGATTCGAAGATGAATTCACATGAATACAATTTTTTTTTTTACTGGGTGAAGAGAAGCATCTGCAAATGACATTGACACGCACACACACCAGAGGCTTCTAGTTATACTCTTTGCTTTTCAATATTTTACAATCATTTCTGTAATTGAGTATTGAGCTAGTCGATAGTATTGCTGGTCCTTTGTTGGGGTTTGTTTCTATTGATAACTGAGATTAGAAGACGAAAACATGCAAACTTGTCTCCGTTCATGAGAGATGTGACCGCCGCCATCTGAGTCCTACCACACAAAATATTAATGCGCTTTTACCATTTTTTTAATTTTTCTTTTTGGATTTTCTTTGGGATAGGTTTAACTCTTTTTGACCTAACGACAATAAAGTCAGATATAGAGGCCGATGAGCGTGTGTATTGGTAGAGCCTTTACTAGGAGTATATTCTATATTACATTTATTCCGTAGTCTGATTATCATTTGATATTAACTTTGTCAGAAACAACTGCAAAACTTCTATTTTTCATTTTCACAGAAGCTTTCCTAGTTGTTCATATGATCTCTGGCACAACTGTTGTCGGGAGATCCGAGATGGGCACTTGCAAGGAGGTGGGAAGGAAGTGATTATGGAATATGTCAGTCGGGGCCTATACTATTTGCATGGTGGGTGGGAAGATAAAACTGCTTCTGGAAACTAGCCCCAAGTGTTCTGGAAGGTGAACATTTGAGTGGAAACCAAATGAAGATGGAAGTATTCGTTGCCCCCCAAAGGACATGAATGGTTGTGATGATGGTATTTTAGTATTTAGATGCATGTTTTACGAAAATCACACCAGGGAGTTGGTAAAGAAAGCAGGATAAATAGATGAAGCTTACAAACTTGAGTGTTTAAGTGAAAATTCGGCAGAAGGGCGTTCATGTCTTAACTCTGTGGATGATGTCGACTCAAGCAGCACTGAATTAAGGAAATGAGCTTCTAGAGCTGCTTCTGATGAAAACTATTTGTACTGTCCAAGGGCTGGAGATATCCAACGTGAGAATTTCAAGCATTTTCAGTGGCATTGGTTCAGAGGTGAACCTGTAATTGTGAGTAATGAAACTACAAAAGGTTTAAGCTGGGAACCATTGGTCATGTGGCATGCTTGTCGTCAGATATGCAACATACTAAGCATGGTAAATGTGGGAACCTAATTTTAAGCAAACCCTAGATCAAATATTTCCTTCCATTTGGAGAATATTTTGATTTAGGGATTCTTGCCTTGATTAGGGATTTGATTCGCATTAAATCCCTAATTGATTTAAATCTCCTAAAATCAGAAAAATAATTCCTTTCCCAACAAGGATTATTTTTCTCTAAACCCTAACTTTCCGAGACTACTATAAAAGGATGGCCACGCACAAGGGTTGAGGTACGTCTAAAATCTCTACTAAAACTCTGCAGAAAATTCCTCTCAAACCCTAGCCACCTCCTCTTTCTCTTTCTTTTTTACATAAGGCTCCGGCCGACCGGTTTACACCTTAAACACATCTCCGTACCCTAATTAGCTAGTGTTTCTCTTACAAATTCTTGAACTAATTTAGGCATCGGAGGGCCTTTGGCCAACACCCCCCGGGTGTGGCCCTCTTATTTGTTCTATTGTGCATGGAGAAAGAGGAGGCAAAGAAGGAAGATGAATCTTTGCAACTGAATATTCTCGTGAGGAAATCTGCTCACACAAATTGGTGCTTTCATTGAGAGCACGAGATATACTCAAAGCGTGCTCCAAACCTACTTTTTCAATCCACCGAAGCCTTCCAAACAACCATGGTTGGAAGCAAATGCCTTAGGAGCAAAACCACCGCAACGGCGCACTCCAAAACTGCCGAAGCCTCGCTGCCACCACGAGGTACAGCTGCTGCCAGCGATTTGCAGCAACCTCCTATCGCTGCCAGCATGTTCCAGCAGCTTCCCAGCGAGATCCAGCAACATCCCATGGCTGCCAGTGCGTTCCAGCAGCTCCCATGAGACTTGCAGTAGCCTCCCATAGCTGCCAGCGCGTTCCAGCAGCTCCCCAGCCAGTTTCAGCAGCCTCCCATGGCTGCCAGCGCATTCCAGCAGCTTCCCAGCAAGTTCCAGCAGCCTCCCATGGCTGCCAGCACGTTTCAACAGCTTCCCAGCAATTTCCAGCAGCGTCCCATGGCTGCCAGCGCATTCCAGCAGCCCCTCGTGGCTGCCCATGCTGTCCAGCCACCTCCGGCAGCTACGCAACCTCTCCAAACAACTGTTATAGCAACCGGAATGCAGCAGCAGCTGTGCCATGTGGCTGCTGAAATTGCAGCACAGCCACACAGCCCCGTGGCCTCCTCTGTCGTGCAACCACAAGGCCTAGGTGCCGGCGCCGCCACCCATGACAGTGCCGCCATTTGGAGCAAATCCATTCACTCCTTCCTTTGCAACCACACTTGACGTATGCACCCGTGTACACATCTAATGAAGCCCTAGCCCATACGCCATTGGGCCCGATCCACACCTCTTTACCCGACCTATGCAGTCAAGTGGGCCTTAATTCACGGGTTGATCAACTCAAGCGCAGAGGGTCGACGACCAAAACAACCTCATTGGCCAACTACTCAGGCAGATCAACTTGAATCAAGGCCCTAACTTTGGAGCCTATAGCGAGGAGAGAAGGATCCATGAGCATACTGGCGAGCATTTTGAGGGATCCCAGACTAGTCAATCAGAGACAAATTGGTTGGGGAGAGAACGAGATTAGGTTGACAAGACACAGACATCTGCAAGCCATACTCTGAGTCGGTCGACGATCCATTCAAGATTGGGCTCATAGGGAGCAAGATTGCGTGACGAAGGCAACGACCGACGCTCACCAACCCGCTCGAGAACTAACTCACGGCGACAACTCGTGGAGGAATCTTTGCAAGCTCAATCCACCAATCTGCCTCACGGGCAGGGCAACCAAGAAGGTCAACCTCTTCAAGTCGACGAGGAAGTCAACCATCCCTGCTTGAATCACAAGGGTCGCCAACGTGATCGACAAGCCATGTGCGAGGAGGAAGTCGAGAAGCTCGTAAACGGCCGACTTCGTAACATAAAGATTGGCAGAAATTTCGAAGATGCTCTACGCAGGGAGGTGGACTAAGAAAACTCTATGCCTTTCACTGCCGAAATCGAGCAAGATGCTCCGCCAAAGAGATTCTCAATGCCTTCATTCGTTCATTTCAAGGGGGATTCCGATCCCAAAAGCCATCTAAAGCAGTTCAAAAGTGCCATGATCTTCTACAAGGCCAACGACGCGCTGATGTGCAAGGTGTTTGCAATGACCTTGTTAGAAGCAGCCCAAGACTGGTTCTACACCCTGCCATCTGGGTCGATCAGCAGTTTTAAGGAGCTAGCTTACGTCTTCACCAAAGAATACACTTCTTATCGGACGATCAAGAAGAACCCTAACCACTTGTTCAACCTGCGAAAGAAGTACGATGAATCCCTCCGAGATTACATCAAGAGGTTCAAAGCAGAAAGGGCAAACATCATTAGATGTGACGATCGAATCGCGTCATCGGCCTTCAAAAGGGGTTTGCCAATTGAATGTGAGTTGTATCGCGAGTTGACCATCTCTCCCTACCAAACACTAGTAGAAGTCTTCGCGACAGCAGAGCGCTCTGCACTTTGGGAAGATGACTGGATCGCCGTGAAGAAAGCTGCCAAGCAAGCCGATCAACTAGCTGAGGAGGCAAAAGTTGCCAAGAAAGCTGCCAAGCAAGTCAATCAACTGGTTGAGCAGGCAAGCCAAAGAAACGGCATGATAAAAGACAAGGATGGAGACAAGCGCAGATTACAGCCTCAGGGAGGTGCTCCAACAGCTGAGAGCTACACCAAATTCACTATCCCGATAGAGCAGATCCTAGCCCAAGTAAAGAACATGCCTTGGTTGAAGAAACCATTGCATTTGAAGGGAAACCCAGCCAAGAAGGATACTAGTAGATACTGTGAATTCCATGAAGGGCACGGTCATTACACAAATGACTATTTCGCTTGGAAAAAGCACCTTGAAGAACTGGTCGGAGACGGCCATTGCAAAGAATTCATCGCAAGAGGGGTTATCCATCAAATCAAAGATCGCGACGTAGCTACCAACGAACCTCCACAAAAAAAGTCATACGGATCCGCACGATCCTAGTCGACTCTAAGAGCCTGACCTAACCACCGAGGAACAGAAGAGAAATATCATGCAAGCAACAAGAGCAAATCTCCCAAGCCGTCACCAGCTACCCAGTCATGGAAGACGATCCTAACATAATCTTTTAAGGGAAGGAAGTTCGAAGACAATGGAATGCCTATCACCTCCGAAGGTACTATCCACGGAGCTCCTCGTCTACCAACTTGGCTCCAAGCAGGAGGCCAAGCCTTCCGCACCTCCGTTGAAGACAAGTTACTTTTGATGTTACCCTTGCAACTTATCTCTTTAGTTCAATAAAGCAATGTAGTCACACAGACATCAATATAAACATAATCTTTTAAGGGAAGGAAGTTCGAAGACAATGGAATGCCTATCACCTCCGAAGGTACTATCCACGGAGCTCCTCGTCTACCAACTTGGCTCCAAGCAGGAGGCCAAGCCTTCCGCACCTCCGTTGAAGACAAGTTACTTTTGATGTTACCCTTGCAACTTATCTCTTTAGTTCAATAAAGCAATGTAGTCACACAGACATCAATATAAGTTCAAGCTTTTCTTTCCAATGGGGTGTTCACAAATGCAATCGACATGTCTCTGGACGTAAGCTAAACGGGCCACACTCATCGACACGTCTCCGGACGTAGGCCAAACGGGCCACCCTCATCTACACGGCGCGGGACAGCGGCCAAGCGCCTCATCGACACGTCTCTAAACGTTGGCCAAACGGGCCACTCTCATCGACACGTCTCCGAACGTAGGCCAAACGGGCCATCCTAATCGAGACGTCTCCAAACGTTGGCCAAACGGGTCACTCTCATCGACACGTCTCCAGACGTAGGCCAAACGGGTCACCCTTATCGACACTTCTTCGGACGTAGGCCAAACGGGCCACATATAGACACATCTCTGGACGTAGGCTAAACGAGCCACACTCATCGACACGTCTCTGGACGTAGGCCAAACGGGCCATTCTCATCGACACGTCTCCGAACGTAGGCCAAACGTGCCACTCTCATCGACACATCCCCTGACGCAGGCCAAACAGGCCACTCTCA